ACACGAGTAATCAAAATCTTATCACTATTCTATTTAATCTGTCTACAACTTGTAGAAGTAACAAATATTTTTTGTGATTTATTCATATAAAAAAATCTTAATATTTTGATAAAATATATAATCTTTAAAAGAATTCATATACATGTCGGTCTACTAAAGGGAACAACATCTTAAAGTCTCAATAGGGCAACAATAGTTTATAATATGATCTACCCCAATGAGCTCTTTAACATTCTAGGAGTTAGACATGGGTTAGCATAATACAAGAATATCGATCTTTCATTTATTTATTTATTTATTTTAGGTTATAAGAGAATGTTAGAAATGATTTTAGGAGGTGACTTCTTTTGCTTATCAAATTGAGTCATTAACATGAAGAGAAAAAGAAAAGAGTAGAACTTTATGCAACCAATAGAGAAGATAGAGAGGATAATTACAAACTCCTAAATTTTATTGACATACATGGAAGAGTAGTGTTTGAAATGCAAGCTGTTCGCGAACGACGAACCAGGTTGACATCTCTAATATTAATATATACAAATCATATATTATATTAATTATATAACTTATATTATATAAATATATAATATCTATATTAGTATATTACTAATATAGTATATTAATATATTATTATTAATTTCTTATATATTAGAATTGATAAAATTTATTTTTTAAAAATATCATAAATTTTTATATATAATTATTTAAAATTATTTTACATTTCAAACAATAACGATTCTAACACGAACAAACGCATCACTGTTCTTGTTTGGTTCGTTTAACTAATTGAACAAAAAAAATTTGTTCAAGTTCGTCTCCTTTACTTATTGAATAAATCGAACACGAACTTTTTGGGAACAAGGAGCTTTTTATACAACCCTATGCATGGAAAAGTAGAGTTTGGAACACGAACAAATCATAATAAGTGCACTGTGATACATTTACACTAAAATTTAGCATGCACTCGCTTTCTTATATGCATATTCTACATGGAGCCAAACCCCACAAATTCCACCCATGTGCCTTTAAACCAATAGCCTTCACCCTCTTTAATAAATGCAGCTACTTGCATTCATTGTTTCACATTTTCATCAAGTTGTCTTTCATGATTGCAAAGCGAAGCCATGAATCTTACCCGCCCATTTTTTCATAAAATATGAAATGTTTGATTTGCATAATCCTACACTAACATCAAAAGTTCATTAAACTCAAGCCTTTTATTACCTATTTCCTAAAGATTGACGAGCTATTAAATTCCCATCCTCAAACTAGAGATAAAAAAACAATTGGGGCATTTACATTCATACCACATAATTCTCATCTATTTACGTAGCAAACACTTAAAATTTTATATTTACATGCATATCACTCAAATATTCTTTAATTATGTCATAAATATTATCTTTATTATAAGTGAAATGAAAATTTTCATGCATAGATTTATGACACTAAAATGCCATAAATGTAAGTATCAAACCCGATCCAGGTATTAGACATGTAAATAAATAAGAATTATGTGTTATGTATATAAATTTCCCGAAATAATTTTGATAGACATGATCAAAGTCGATGGCCAAACAAAGTTTGTCAGATACATCTTTCATAATACCAATTTAAAATTAGTGAAATAATGAGAGATAAATCAGAAGCTATAGATAAATTAGTTTTCTAATAATCTTTTATATGGATAGATGAGGGAAGAAATTACTCCAGCTTAGGATAGTCGAAAAATTATTCCATACGGATCGGACACCGCACGCATCTTGCCTGCAGTGTCCGATCCTGACCGTAAAGGAAGTATTTTGGTGGGCCCCACCTAATTTTTTTTAAATAAAAAAACTGAAATAATTTTGACCGTAGATCACCGTGATCTACGGTCATGATTGGACACCGTATGCAGAGATACATGCGGTGTCCATATGCAATAATTTCTCAGGATAGTCAGAGGAGCTCCCCACAAATTCAATAGGTAAGAAAAAAGATTAATACAGCATATATCTCTTACGATCTATTTGTAAAAGTTAAGCAACAAGGTTGGTTTCTCATTTAATATTATTAAGAGGTGAGGGCCTGCACACATAAATGGTGTGGCAGATGTCTAGGGCCAATTAATGTTATTATTATTATTATTATTTTTAAATTTGTATTTTTATACTGAGAAAGAATTTGCCTGTTTTAATGGAGCCAAGTCGGGTCGAGTCGAGTTGAGGCAAGTTGAGTATGTCATGAACTGAACATAGCTTGGTTGAATGATAAGTTGTTCATAATCAGTTTTTAACCTTTCAAGTATGTATTCATACTGGGCTATTTATTTATTTTTAATGATAATACTTGATTTATACTTGATTTATTTATAAAGATTAAACAAGTTAAAAATTCAAATAAGTACATGATTTTTTAAATAAAATTAAAAGATTTGATATGTACTTAATGTTGCACATAAAATAATATAAGAAGACAAAAATTCAAATAAATACTACAATTTTGTACAAGTTATTAACAACTGATTTGATAAATAAAAAATAAATAAGTATTTAAACAAGTTTTAAATTGGCATCAAATTAGTTTATACCAAATGCAATAATCTATAAGTTGTATGTAAGCTTTTTTGTAATAAAATAATGCAAATAAGTACAAATAAATTAACTCATTGAAAGAAAAATAAGAAGAAATTGTATTAAATTTATTTGCATATTGATATTAAATTATATTATGTTATTATTAAATATATAATTACATAAGATTTAGTTAATCTTATTTTATTTAAATAATGCATCATATTAGTATAAAACATCTAACAAGTTACTTGTTGAATAACAAATAAGTTTGTTTGTGAATATAAGTGAACGAGTTTGACTGTGTTTAAATTTAGTTCATTTAAAATTAAAAAAAAAATATTTATTCAAGCATGTTTATTTACAAATTTAAACAAACAAATAACACTTTAAACTACAGCTTATAACTGCAATTGATAATTGATGAGTGGTAATCCTACCAGAAATTATGTATTATACCCTTTAGCTTCGATCAATTCATGTTATACTAAAACATCCAAGGAAGTTAAGGAGCTAAAGCACTTGATGAAGAAACTTTGCTACAATAGTTGGTTTTGTGTTATAGGTACTTTCATCCAATTTGAAGAATGATCCTACATTTTACTACAAAGAACTATTATATTTTTCAATGATTTGCTCCTTCAATATGTTTTTTTTTTGGTTATTCTAGATGTCCATGGACATCAATATTGTTGGTTCTTTTCTTAGATTTTTTTATTGGAAGTTAACTTATTTGGTAGTAGCCATTCACAAATTTCATTCGATCATGTTAACAATCGTTTAAATCTTGAAAACAATCATATCGAGTTCATTTTATCATTTATGTATTCCCATGTATCTAGGGATTTAATCATATTTGATTCGCAACATTCTTTCATTTCTTACCTTTTGAATGGATCATTGGAATTGCAAAAGGGAAAGGCGATGTCTTAGATTTTGAAAATGTTGGCATGAATGAAAATTTTAAAGTGAAAGGACTCGATCGTAGCATTTTTTGTGCTTGATTTATCACATTAAGATCTTGGAAACATGGTGGGCATTGTACTGAACTATTTGTAAGGGCAAATGTGTTGAACAAATATTCATGTGTTAATTGAAGGCTGACAGTAGTCTAGCATATTGTTTCCACATATTCCTTCTTAATAAATTCCTAATAGATCATGCACGAACTAGTCATTACATATTCTTTACTACTGAGTGTTTATGCATTGTGAAATGGATTAAGGAGGCCCATTATTTTAATAATAATTTGTTGATCCATTGCTTGAGTGATGTGTGGATGATCAACTAATTTATGTGCTTTTATTTGTTCTCTGTGTTGGTGAGAAAATGAATTTTTTTTTATTTAATTCATATGCAACAACCAAATTTGACTTTATTCTTCCTTTAAATGAAAAATATGAACATTTTTCTGAAGTTTAAAATACATCTCTTAAAAAGCTTTCAATGAATTATTTTATTTTATTTTATTTTGTTCTAATATAAGTAGATGGTCAATTAATTTGTCTCTTCATGTTTTATTATGGAATCAAAGCTAACAAAAAAGACAAGTGTATGACAGGCCACAAGAGGCATGATCATTGGGTACTGACAAGACCAAACCCATCTAGATTCCAAGCCATTAGAAGCTATTACGACGCAGGTATCCAAGCATGAATAATTTATTAGTGTTATTAATTTTCTTTATAGTGGATTATAGTACTTGAAAAGCATAAAAAAAAATTAAATATCTCTTTCATTTAATTGAGCAGCAACAAAAGACAATTAGCTTAATAATAAAACACCCTAAAGTAGCAGCAATGGAGCTGAATTTACAATAATATTCATCTTAAACTTTACAAACTGCTCCATCACCTTCTTGATTTTCTCTTATTGCATCTTTTCTAATTGCTAATTTTGGCCTACTAATTCAAGATAAAAAAAAAATGCAAAATTCACAATGAGCCGTCTTGGTGAGTAGATCCATTGATTGAAAAATTTTGAGAACTGGAAGCTGGACAAAAAGCAATGTCCACCAAGAGGCAGCCTGGTGGTTTTACTTCCACCAGAATTTGTGAACAATTGGTTGAAAAATAAAATTTCCTTCCTCAACACCAAAGGCTGCGGAAATGGAACTTTAAATGAAATGGAGACATGTATTATAATACAAATTCTTACTAACAATAGATATTGAGTTGTTGCTTACATCATGCAGAATTGTCTCAAAAATCAATTTGGACTATAGTAGATAAGAAATGAGAATTGACATTAAAATCATGATTAAGAAGCATTGATTGTTAGAGGAGAAGCAAAATTTCCAAAATTAGCTACCAGAAGTCAGTTGGAATGCTACATGGAGAAATTTTTCAGAGAGTTGAATTCCTTTACACTACTGGTCTTCTTAATTTCTCCCCACTACATACCCTTCTAAGGACTTTAAAAAAAAAGGGGAGACTCGATTATTGAGTGGCAGTTGGAATCATATTTTACTGTCACTGAACTTTATAAATCCACAATTAAAAGCCACGAATTTCCCCGTAGTTACAAGGAACCAGCCATGAAGCTTTCCCTCCTCCTCCTCCTCCTCCTCCTCTGTTTCATTTCATATTCTTCCTCCCACCCTCACCCACTCGACCCTCTCACTCCCTCCGAACTCTCCACCATCCGCTCCATCATCACATCCTCCCCTCTCAACCTCTCCTCCTCCCTCTCCTTCCACTATGTCGGCCTCGACGAACCTGACAAATCCACCATTCTTTCCTGGTCCCCCTCTTCCCCCCTCCCCCCTCGCCGCGCTTTTGCCATCCTCCGCGCCCCCCGCCCCCCCCGCCAAACCCACGAACTCATCATCGACATCACCAAAGCCTCCATTTTCTCCCACCACATCTACCCCGGCCCCGCCTACCCCACCTTCAACAACGAAGAAGAGGCACAAGCCGGGCTGCTTCCACTAAAACACAAGCCTTTTTTGGATTCGTTGAAAAAGAGGAGCGTGAAGGTTGAGGATGTTATATGTACATCTTATACCAGGGGTTGGTTTGGCGAGAAGAAGCAGAGAAGAAGAAGAGCAGCAGTGCTCTGTTTTGTGGCCGGAAAGACGGCAAATTTATATGCGCGGCCGATTGATGGTGTAACAATAGTGGTAGATTTGGACGACATGGAGATTGTGGAGTACAGGGATCGAGTTCTGTTGCCGGTCCCATCGGCGGAAAGGACGGACTACAGGGCGGTGAGGCAGCGGCCGCCGTTTGGGCCGAGGGGGAACAGAGTGGTGGTGGATCAGCCTGAGGGGAAGGGATTCAAAATCCACGGCCATATGATCAAATGGGCCAACTGGGCCTTTCACCTCGCGTTTGATCTCCGCGTGGGCGCCATTGTTTCACTCGCCACCATCGAAGACACCACGTCCGACGTGCTCAGCCGCAAGAGCGTTCTTTACCGCGGCTTTGTGTCGGAGCTCTTCATCCCGTATATGGATCCCTGCGAGGAATGGTACTACAGGACGTATATGGATGCGGGGGAGTTCGGTTTTGGACTCCTGGCTTCGCCGCTCGAGCCGATGGTGGATTGTCCGTCCAACGCTGAGTTCATGGATGGTTTCTATGCGGCTCAGAATGGAGAAACGGTTCGCATCCCTAATGTTTTCTGCATCTTTGAGCGATATGCGGGTGATCCTTCGTGGCGGCATACGGAGACTTTGATCCCAGGAGAAATAGTATGTTTTTCAAGTTTAATCACTTGTCACTAAGTGCTAAAAAAACATCTTTTTTATCCAAGTTGTCTTAATGTGATATATAGATCACTGAGAGCAGGGAAGAGGTGAACTTAGTTATCAGAATGGTTTCGACTGTCGGAAACTACGACTACATGATTGATTGGGAATTCAAGACCTCCGGCAGCATTAAAATTTCGGTAACTTTTCTTTTCTTCATTAGTATTGATTTGCTTAAGAAAAACTTTAAAAAGAAATAAAAAATAAAAAAGGTAACATTTTAAAAATTTTGCCTTTAAAAAAAGTCATTGTTCCTAAGAACATTAACATTTTTTTTTTATTTTAGTGTTCCTACGTACACAGCACAGGAAACATTGTTACTCGTCTTCCACCTTAAAGTTTGGTTTTATGAAATAAGTACTTTTATTAAACTCAATCTCCCACGCTCATATCTCCACTTGCGCGATGAGATCGCTGTGAATAAAGACTTCCCAAACTTCTATCTTCTTGTGGCATACAAAAAGAAAATATTTATATATGGAGTACGCACACAAAACTATGTGCGTATAGAGGTTATTCGGGAGGTATTAGAGGGTTATGTCAGTGTTCTTGAGTTAATATGTGTAATAACCTGATAAAACTCACGAATAACAACAAAAAATATGAGAGAGAAATCGTGAAATGTATTAATAGATTATTAGAGGATTATTGAGAGATTATACTTCAATAAACTCTCAATAACCCCTAATAACTTAATTATTAAAAGATTATTTTATAAAATTCGCATGCAAAACTGTATGCATACGTATTTCATATAGCGCTCCATTTAAAGACTTCAGAAACTCTCATGACAAGATCTCTGCAAACAAAAACCTCATAAACTACCATTTTTTTTCAGCCTTTGGTTCAACGGTGACGGTTTCCTCCTTTAGTTCAACAGTGATGGCCTCTTAAACTCCATTCGTCAGCGGAGGGACCATGAGTCCCGTGACTAAAGCGTACATGAAAGTGTGGATTTTATAAAAATCAAACTTTGGGTTTTGAGATATGTAAATTATAATGTTCCAGTGCCATACACGTAAAAAAAAAAACTCATTTTTCTGATTTTTTTAGTTTGGAATATCAATGATCACATTAATATATTAGGAGACTAACCATAAAACAACTCTCTGTTTTAAAAATCTCCCTACTTCCTCCTCCTCTGCAGGCAGGCCTGACCGGAATCCTGGCTCTCCAAGCCTCCACCCATACCAACACCAACCAAATCAACGGTGAAAAACACGGCGAGCTTGTAGCCCCCAACACCATCGCCGTCTACCATGACCACTTCATCACCTTCCACCTCGACCTCGACATCGCCGGTCCGGCCAACTCCTTCGTCAAAGCTAACCTCAAGACCGTCCGCACAAAGTCTTCCCATTCAACGCCGAGAAAGAGCTACTGGACCGTTGTTACGGAGACAGCGAAGACCGAGGCCGACGCACGTGTCCGACTTGGAAGCAGGGCAACCGAACTGCTTGTTGTCAACAATGCGGTGAGAACTGCGTTAGGAAACGCGGCTGGGTATCGTTTGGTTAGGAGCGGTGCGGCTGCAACATCGCTTTTGAGTGATGATGATTACCCGCAGATTAGAGCGGCGTATACCAAGAAGCAGGTTTGGGTGACGCCGTATCATAAAGCGGAGAAGTGGGCCGCTGGGCTTTATACGGATCAGAGCCGGGGGGATGATAATTTGGTCGTATGGAGCAAGAGGTACGCATCATTTTACCTAATATACTGCTTTTCTTCAATAATATTTCCGGAGTTCTAAATAAATTTACTGTCTGACTCCATAAAAATAGATAATAAATTCAATAAAAATCATTATTTTTTCCTTTTTCCTTTCAAAAACTTGCTTTTAAAATGCAAGATGGGCTATGTATTCCATTTGCTGAATATTACTTGGAACAGGAACCGATCCATCGAAAACACAGATATCGTATTGTGGTACACAATTGGATTTCATCATATTCCGAGTCAAGAAGATTATCCGTTGATGCCAATGTTGACAGGTGGATTTGAGTTGCGACCGTTCAATTTCTTCGAGCGAAATCCATTGATCAACACCGAACCGTTTAATAAGGTTTTTTCGGCTGGCGCGGGCATGCCAACCATCAAAATGGATCAAGCATGAGCAAAATGGCAAGCTACTAGTTAAAGCTTTTAGGCTTAAGAAAAGTGAAGGGCATGGCCAGGTTGTTTGATTTTAAATATCTTTTGAGTCATTTTCCTTCTTAATATTATTCTATGTCATGTACTATTTTTGTTTGAACTATATATTTCAAGAAATAGTGCTTCCATTAGTTCTGATATTGAAGTATAAAATGAGAAATCTAGTTACTACACTATTACTTAAATTAATTCAACAAGAGCTTTTAATGTATATCAATTTTAAATTTATTTCCTATGTTTTTTTTTCTTTTTTTTCTTTTTTGTTTGTTTGTTAGCAGTCATGCCAATAAATGTAATGTCAGGAGCAATTGAAGAACATAACAGACAAATGATATTAATTTCTTATGTGAAAAAAATCTAAAAAAATAAAAGAAAATCATTAGATGTTTTCCTAATAAATCATTTCTCTTTAGAAGTTATTATATGTTATAGAACGGTTTTCCAAGTTTACAACTCAGATGCCAAAATATAATAAAGATGACTATAGGTTATTGTTAATGTTCTTAATTGGTGTGGTCAATACAATAAGGTTGAGTGCCATTTGTTTTCCTCTTAAAGATGAAGGCATCTTGACATGAAGGAAACCAAGGAGGGAATGTTGAAAGGTCGTCGAGACACCAAGGATGATCATAATTGTTCCCCTCTTGGGGTGGCATCCCTAGCAAAGAATAGAGGACTACCTTGAAATATTATGTTATATCCATAAGAAGCACATATACATACATCATCTAAATAGCTTCCCATTTTAATAACTTCATACACCTAGTAGTGATTTAAAATGATATGTAGTTTATGCAGCTCACATGAAATGGCTTAGTTTGAGGCACAAACTTGAGCTTAACATTTGGTAGTCCGTGGGTGTAAACAATATTCAAAGCATTATCTTCATTGATCATCAGCTCCCACCTTCCATTAATACATACAACATAAATGCTAAAGATATTTTTCATCCTCTATGTTTAGATTCATTTTTTTCCATGGCTAGGCATTCATCAAATCAATCGGGCACTAACTCATATCTTTTAAGTCATTATCAAAAGTGGCATGTTATCAATAACCTTTTCTTTCAACTCATAATCCTCCTTTAAAAATAAAATTCAAACATTACAATGGTGGTGCATATACCCTTTCTTATAGCATTTGAAATAAGCAATTGGTCCATTCTACTGTGACACATATATCAAGCACATATGCCAATCAATTATAATATGTATTCCGAGTCTATATATCAATCTCACAAAAAACGAGTTAATTTTCAAAAGGTGATCTTCTAGTTTATTAATACTATTTTATTTGAAGTGCCAAAAGTTCGTGAAGTTTTAAAAGTGTCTAAATCTTAATTTTAAAAAATAACCTAAATTAGAGAAAAGTTTCTAGCTGTTGTTTCGGTTCATTTTGTAACTCAAGAGTAACCACCTTGTTTAATCATCATTTTAAAATTCTCTTTCTCAAAGAGCCCTCTTACTTGTATTCTAGGAACGATTCGGGGAAGAGAAAGGATTGGAAAAGAGGAAATTATGACAGAGATTAGATTGATAAATTTGAAAAGAAACATGAGAGCTTATGTGTCGTAAACCTTGTGCGATAGGTCAAGGGTGTACGTCCGAACAGGATTGGATCGAGTCACCTTGAAACAAATATCCACGAAAGAACACCTACATAAGCCACATAAGTAACCAGAGAACAAAAATAAATATTTTTTTATTTTGGGCCTGAGACCAACTCCCAAACGTATGTATCCCATTTGGTTAATTAAATCTCAGGGAATGCCAAAGAATACTCTCGATTAGAGAGTCCTGCTTATATTCAAGTGATGACTCGTGAGAGGATGTCATAAAGAATGGTTATCTCATAAGACCATCTCGAGGATTTTAAAGATCTTGCTAAGTCACAAGGCAAAGAGTGAGTCTCTCACATCTAAAATAGGTAGCGGCTCATCGACAATCGAGCCCCATGAAATAGCCAGTTCACCTCGTAGCGTCCACACAATGCTTTCAAGTCTAACAGGGTCATAAGGGTTGAGAGTGAATCAAAATATCCCAAATGAGCAGCATTGCAATCGGGGCTTATGAGATGACATCAACAAAGCGTCAAAGGAGTGACAGGGCTCAAAGAGGGTAAGCAAACAAAGGGTAGAGTGATTCTAACAGACAAAGAAAGCTGAGTTAGGATACCACGAATCCATCATATCAAGCTATTATGCCTACGTCTACATGGTCGTGAAGGTAGTCGACTTAAATAACCAGAGATCCCTTATTAGCAATCCATGAATTGTGTCGTTCAAGTGGACCTCGATAACCCTAATGTCAAAAGAAGAAAACTGTAAGTCCTATCACCCTTTGTAGGCAGGAAGAGTAGAGATGATACTTATACCTGCCATTTGGCGAAGAAGCCGCTGGAGTGAAAAAGAAAGAGAAGTACAACTAACGAATCTGAGACGCTCTCACACAAAAACTTAATCCCTGTCTAGGTTGGTGAAGCCTCCAACATCCTAAGTGTACTAGACGACCACTTAAGTAGATTATATGCTGGATCTATCGGGTTAAAGAAGCACAAGGAATTCTCCTTGGGACATGCAATATGATGTAGTTTTCTACAGAAGTCATAATGTGGAGGCTTTACTAATATAGCTTAGGTTATGCTCATGCAATGCAAATTTGTTTAAAATCCGACTCGAAGGCCTTGCAGGAAAGTAAGTACAAATTTTGAAAAATCACAAAATGTTTCAATCCTAAATTATGAAGTCTTAATCTTTTATTAGGATTTTGTAGAAAATTTAGATATTTGGTTCTTAGAGAGCCTAAGTTATATTTGTATCATTCTCAGACTATCCACAAGCCAAAAAGGGTGTAACAACAAGGCACTTTGCGTAATATAAAGGAAAGCAAGCCATACAAAAAATAATAGAGAGTTTGGGTGTCGCTGGATCAACAACATATCCCAAAAAATATAAAAAGGAAGTGAGTTACCGCATATACATACTTGGTCCAAATGTTATACACCAATGAGAAATCAAAATTAAGGTACTTGACTCAAACCTGCAGTTCCTGATCATTGTCACGTTGTTCAGCTCGTCAAACATCTTGGAACCGATGCTCATACCTTATTTCTGATAAAAGAATCGAGTCTAGGGGACTCTAAAAAGTACATAGTAAAAGTAAAAAAAAAAGCATTATGTAAAACAATCGGGTTATTATAGGTTATAGGCATGCAACATAGTGAACCGTGCATGATGGGAGAAGAGCTAAGCAAGCACTTGTAGAACTTGTGTTAGATAAAAATCATTCTAGCTCCTCACTGTTGAACATGAATCCCTAAAAAAAGACTAACCCTAACATATTTGTGTGCATGTCTCACACCCCATTAAACACACAAAAATCAACACACAAAGTGGTGCCTTCTAGGGCAACCAAACCAGTAGAGAACCGTAGATAGGACATCGAAAAGACTGTCTGACACCTTAGTCCTAACCTAGCACATCATCAAGCATATAGTGTCCTAGTCACAGCATCTAAGTGTGTACAAAATATAGGTGAATTTGCTGGCATATGTTTTGACAGGATAACCATCCCCGACACCATCCTAAGAATCCAAGGATTCTAAGGGGTGTCACTAAATGCAAGTTTTTTATGAAAGAAAGCTTTTAAAAGGTTTTACCTCATCTTTGTTCTAAGCTAAGGATGCAATAGCTTAAAAATAGGTTTTGAAGATATGATGCAAAAAAGTAGTAAAAATATATGTATTTTTTATATTTAAAGTAGGTCCTAGGAAAAAAAAGAAAGCTTAATTGACACCTAGTAGATCCCTTGGAACCATGCATGATTTTGAATGTGATTAAGTGGTTTAGGTGAAAACCGGTTGTAAGTCCATTAAATTGCATGTTTTCCTTCTTTTAGGCTAGGGCTCCAAAGTTTCACTTCTCTTGGTGAACTTCACCCTAAAACTCTGAGGTTGTTCTTCTGGTTATGACGTACATCCTCGCCTTTAGGCTCCTGCGTGATTGTATGAAGTCTTAGAATTCTAACAAAACATCAGAACAAAATATTAAAGTTTTTATTTGAAAATGAAAAGATTCAATTTCTTGAGGACAAAGCCACAACCTTAATCAAAAGTTTTCTTGAGTAACTTTAGTTAATTAAGATGTAATTAACTATAGAGGTTTACCTCTATGGGAAGGAGAAAACCCTAGAACTAATCTAAACTTTATTTATTCTCCAGATTAGATAGGGGAAGTGACCTGTCAGATTTAATTGCACACTAGCACAGATATCCAACATTTTCTCTTTTCAAATAATCAAACCCATTGTAAAGTTGTATGTCTACCTTTCAAAACGTTTTGCTGCCTTCGATGACACACTTGATTATTTGAGCATGCCATATCTTTGAATCAACATGGCATTCAAAAGCTCTATGTCAGTTGGAGAGAAACAGAAAAGAATAAAACTAACCCTGATGGGGCGGACACCACACGCCCAATTCAATGCCTCAACTCTCTTAATTTCCCATGGCCAACAAATTTTAGGGTTTTTGGTTTTCATCAAAACCGCACATCCGAGAAAGAGGGAAAACCACCCAAATTAACCAAAACAAAAATAGAGGGGTCATAAATAAAAAAGTCATTCTCGGCCTCTAAAATCTGTAAATGTCGCAAAAGTCAAATGCCAGATACCACAAATTCCAATTCCAGCCATTCCATGACCCTCAAATTCAAGATTCATTCATTCTAAGGGGAAAACACGAAAAAAAAAACAAGTCATAAAAACCTATAAAACAACAAACCGAGTAGAGCAAGGAGCACAAACAACAAAAAGAATGGTATAGGATACCAAAACCAATAATCCCATCTTCCAGATAACATAATATCGATTCACATGTAGAGCAAAGCCATAAAATGCACTGATAAAGCTGAGAGAGGAAGGGAATAGCAGCAGAGACACAAGAGAGATGGCTCAATAGAGGCAGAAGAGATACAAAAGAGATGCCTGGAGAGAGGCAACAAAGACTTGAGAGAGACAATTTGAGAGAGGCTGATAAGCAAAGTGGTAGAGACGCGAAGGAGCATCGACAGAGACACAAAAAATCTAGGGCTGAGACAAAGGGCAAGGACAAAAAT